CCTTCTATCCTGCTGGTACTGCTCAAAACACATATGGTGTGTAGGCTGAAGATAAGGGCTGTTGGAGCCAGAAAGGAGTGTTCATGGGTTGCTGAAACCTTGTACATCACCTATGGTAAGGTCACTGCAGAGGCAAAGGGAGATTAATCAGGGAAATTTTAGTGTGACCTAGGAATTAGCCATCCAGTGGTCTTCAGTGTGAAGGTGTCAGTGACTGCAGCAGGAAGGATATGGGGACCAGAACTTTTCGTTAGTTAGAAAACCTGTCTGTGTATGACTTTGGGACTTGTAATTGGGGAATAGGCACATGTAACTGTGCTGATAAGGGGCTGAGGAATTGCCCTGTTTAGATAAAAGTGGTGCCACCCAGGTTTTGAGAAGACACTGCTCCTGTTTCCTGAAAACATTCTGCTCATGCAGGAGAGCAACATGGTGTCTCAGGTCCAATACAGTACAGTGGGTCCTCCCTGACATCACAGCTGTGTTTTGAGTGAATTTTAAAAGGAGGAGAAGGAGGTCTAGAAAAAATAAGTGAACTGTTCTGCTTATATGAGATGAAGGATGCTACTTAAGAAAGGATTTATAAGTAGAGATGCAAATTATTTGTTGGCAAACCTGTCAGTAGCTCTGTGGTGTGTGCTGGCTCTTTGGCACATGCACACAAACAGAAACACCTGGCAGAGCGTGGGCCTGGGCTGCTCTCAGAGTTCTGCTGCAAGCTTAGTGTTTCCCAGTTATGCTGTGAAATGTCCAAGGACACCCTTTTCCTTGAAAAATGAAAAATTTTGATAGTTTTTAGATGGTATGCTATGGCTTTTGTTTATGTCTCAAGGACTGCTACATAGAATGTTAGAGATTATCTCTAAATCTTTTATAAAAGCTTTATAAATACCAGAAGTAAAGGAAAAGTGCCAATGTGGAGAAGGACCAGTAGCCCCCAGTTGGTTAGTGTGTGACACATGCTGTCTGTAGCAAAATTGGAGTATCTTTTCCCTAGAAATGTGGAAGCCTACAATGCGCAGTTACCAGTGTCACACCAATGAATACCCACAGCCTTTCTCTGTGGGATTTGAGAAGAAACTTCTTCTCAGTGAGGGTGACAGAGCACTGGAACAGGCTGCCCAGAGAGGTTGTGGAGTCTCCTTCTCTGGAGACATTCAAAACCCGCCTGGACGCCTTCCTGTGTAACCTCATCTAGGTGTTCCTGCTCCGGCAGGGGGATTGGACTGGATGAGCTTTTGAGGTCCCTTCCAATCCCTAACGTTCTGTGATTCTGTGATTTGTTTCCCTCGTCAAACTGATTCTTCTTCCCTTTGTTATTCAGTCTGAACTCTGACTCGCTGTGTTTTTTGATTCCGTACTCCTCCTCACCCTATGCCATTTTTTGTCTCTTTCTGTTAGAAAACACCACCAATGTTTCCAGTCAGTGTTTCTAAACCTATGATTTGCAAATGGTGAAAATAGCTAAGCCAGGTTTGCCTACCTTTTATGTGCACACCTTGGAACAAGAAGCTGATTTTTCTAGATCGTACCAGCCTGGCATAGCCATGTCCTGTCCTTTTCTTTTATGGTTCAATAGGGACATTGTTCTAGTAAAAAATAATAATTGCCCTTGCTGGGACTTCTCCTTTGAAAAATTCAGCTACTTATTAAGGACTATGTGTTACTGTTCCAACCAATTTTAAGGTTTGTTTAATGGGAGTTGCTTGGTCAAAGGTTGTAAGAGGCTTAGAAATTATTTCTAACTTCTTGCATTGACAGAAGTCCTCCCAGATGTGAAATACTAAAATGGACAGATTCTGCCAGAGGGACGACTTGCCCAAGACTTGAGAATTCATTAAAAAAGGCTCTGGTCCAGATCAAAATTTTATGCTCTCTTGTACTTCTCTGAAACATTGGGTGGTTTGAATATACAGAGTTAATGTCAGCTATGTGCTGCTGTGATTTCAGTGATTTGAGTTCCCCAAGGAAAGTCCAGGAGGTTTTTGGGGGTTTCCATTGTATTGCTGTGTAATCCATCTTTTAGAGGAGTATAAAAAAATTCTCAAATAGAAAATTCTGTATGCTTTCTTGGATATGACTTGACTTTAATTTCAGGTGTTTCATACAATGAATTATTTTGAGGTTTCAAACAAAAATTATGGTTTTTTTTGTTTGATTTTTCCATTCTTGCTTAAATGTTCCAAATTCAGTAACTGGATTGTTTACAACTGTTTCAGTTCAAATTGGTTATTATGCGTCTTACATATACATAGGAGTAGAAAAGCAGAAATGCTGTAGTGTAGTGAGATAGTATATTGTTCGTTGTTATTCATTATTCCCTAGCTAGCCTTTTCTTTAGTGAGAATCTAGGTATAAAAATCATTACGAAAAACGTGTCTGCTGCATGCAATCCAGAATTGAACATAAGAAGGAAGAGATAATATTGAAGATAGCTGTGATTAGTTCTCCGATTTTCTCATATTAAATCCATTAGGTATTTACTGTCTCAGCTCATGAAGAGATGGAGAATGGTGATGTATCAGCAGGGCAGGACTGGTGAGCAGTCATTTTCACCTTACTCAGTTTGTAAGGAAGTTCCTTCACAAGCAATGGGGGAGTTTACTGTGTTGTAGTGAAAGATGAACACGGAGCCGTGTTCCAGAGAAAGCACAAATGACAGGGGTTTGGTTCAAGGAGCTGCTGGGCAGACGGTGATACCAGTGGTCTGTGGGAGCAGTTTAATTTGAGGAATTCATGGAGACTGTTTGGAACACCTCACTGAGTCATTACAAAAAGGCCTCTTCAGGTGATTTACCAACTGCAGTACAGGTGGCCTGAATGCATTGGCTCTTCAGCTTTCTTGTTATTCTTCATTTGTCATCTGTCTTTATGTGCTACTAGCATGTGATTACCTTGAGGAGACCTTTGAACATCTCTTCAGCACTCCTCACTGTAAATAATGAATGCCTTGCTATTATTTATCGAAAGGGACTGCTAGGCAGTGTTTGTCTTTTTTGGTTGCTGAAGTAGTTTAAAAAATGGAAAGGGCGGTAGCCATAGGAGGTTGTATCGTTTTCATCTATGAGTCAATATGGTAGAATGTGGTATGTCATTCTCAGCACAGTGAAACATGGTTGTGTCTAATTCCAATTTGTATGGCATTTCCATTAATGATGTCTATTTAAGACATCCATTAAAAGCCCTTAATGATAATTAACTGGACTATGCCAATAAAGTTCTATTAGCTTCCCCCTATTAATTTAATATTACAGGCATTTAACAGATGTCTTAATTAGATGTTACACTGAAGGGTATAAGCAAAATTAAAATAAGGTCGTTGTCCTGAAAGTTTCTGCTATGATTTATGCTTTCTACTACTTTGTTTTTCCCTCTGAACTCACACAGGAAACCAAGGGATTTAAATTCAGAGAACACTGAGAGGAGTAATGGATACTAGGTAGAATAACAACTTTGGTCTAACAACTTTCACACATCTTGTTCTTACTTCACAGATATAAATACATTGAAAAAAGCTTCCACTCTTTGGCACTTCCAAGTGTTTTATCCATATTTTCAAAGGCTTTCCCAGTGTTTCTTTCTCCTAGTTTCCCATTGGTGTGAATTTCCCTGTATAAAATATGTATCTTTAGCAAAAATGCGGTCTGTTTTCCCCATCTCAAGGGCAGTACTTCATGTAACTGTAAAGATTTATTTCTGTACCAGCTACTTTATTTCCTGACTTCAAAGAGGACAGAGAAGCAATATTTTCTTGAAAACCAGTATTGCTCATACTATGATTTCACTGGTTCAGTGATGCTCAATCTGGTCTGTGCTGGAGGGATCGTGCCAGGGAGAATTGTGCCTGTAACCTCTGCCAGCAACAGGTCCAGAAAGGAAGTAAGGGCTTTAGACGCCAACTGACTGAGGGAAGACTGGCACAGGTAGTATTCTCAATAGGACTGGAGGGGGTCAGAGGTGGTGATGATCTTCAGCTTTCTTATGGCAGATAAATGGCTTGTGTGCCTCACAAAAAAGAATCCTCAAAGTATATTGTAAAAAAAAAATACGAAAAAAGGAGATAAAGGGTCTGAGGACAGATGAAGCACATGCATTCAAGGCTGAACAAATCCCCACTGGTGCAAGTATGGGGTCTCCATTACAATCACTGTTGCAGACTGTGGCGCAAAGCAAATGTTTATAGAAGGTTTAAACACAAGAAACTGCTTCACCAGCAGTGCTGGATTTAGGGCAGCTGGTGAGCTTAGAAGACTTGCACTATGAAACTACCTAACTTCTTGTGTTCCACTGATGCAGTGCTCACAAACAAGTGGTATAAACTAAGTGCTATCCACACTAGCTGTTTCTATAATTGTGTGTGTAACATGTATATTTTAATTTAAAAATACCTTTGTTCTTCAGTGTAGAACAAAGACACAATGTCTAAACATATACAAAAACAGGCTAGAGTAAAGCCCTTTGAATAGAGGTTAAATATTAATAAAGCATTCTTTTTAGTACATACTGTAAGTACAAGATTGAATAGGGTTTACATCCATCTATGAACTTCTAGCTTCAAGTGCTTCCCTCTTCTGTCATGTTGTGTTCCTTGCACTCCAGCAGGACAATATATATTTACTGATATAGACATATCTGACTTAGTCTTAAAGTAGTATGTTGGTAAGCAAACAGCCTGCAGGGTGCATTACATGTTCAGTATGTTTATATTTTCACACATATACCTATTATCTGCAGCTATTAACCACAGGGAGGGAGATACTCAAGGTAAAAACTATCCGTTGAAACAACTCGCATATGTTTGCACCAGGCAGTGATGCTGATGTTGGCCCAAGAACAATGATTATAAAAGAGCAGTTGTCATCACCTGTAGTCTCATTATGAGCAGATAAAGCCCAATTTATACAGGAGGCAACAGTAACGTTTATCACAGAGTTACAAGATATAATTTTCATTGAGCAAATTTATTATTATAAATTGAAACAGCAGTCAAGTAATCAATGCTAATCATGTAAGTTTACTAAAAGCCAGAATGTTATATATAAATAACAAAACAGATACAATACAACTCCAACAGTGTGAGAGACTGCTTTAAAAACAACAGATACTAGTCATTCTTCAGTAAGAAGAAATGCTTTAGAAATATTTCACATAGCTATTTCATTTTTAATCTGCCAGAAAACCTGGTCTTTACACTGCAGGAAATCAGCAGGTATTTCTATTAATACTTCTGATTTTCCATGAAATCATAGGTCAATAGTTCCTTTCAACTTGAACTTCTTTGCAGATCGCTCACTTGCTCTAAGCTGGAACTTGCTTCCATAGATGTAGGAAATGAATCCATCGATTTCCAAGCTAAATACATTGTTGAGTTTGGGAACAACTGCAAATGCAAAAGAAAAGAAGTTAACAAAAGTGGACTAATGTTAATCCCTGTTATGAAAATACACTGACATACCAGGGGATATTATTTGCACACAGACTTGAAGTTTGCCACATTTCAAGGTTTTCACGCTTCAGCAGGTTTTTCAGCAGGAGAAGAAAAGTAACCAAAACTTGTAAATTTTTAACTGGAATTACTAAAGTTAGTCCTCTTTCAGGAGCATGCAGTTAAGAATTGCAGAGAACATCTAATGTGAATCAGACAAATAAGCCATGTGCATAATCATGTTGGGTTAATTGGAAATTATTTTTTTAATTGCTCATTTCTAATGAGATAGCCTGATATCTTACCAAAAAACTGTTATGTGGTCAGTAAAGACACTGATGTCTTGCCACTCTATGCAAAAAAACTGAAAGCACTGATATAAAACAATGTACTTGGAGATGTAAGATAAATAGTGTGTTTAAGAAATTCCTGATTATTCAAGTTGTGAAAAAACTGCTTTATATACCTTTTAACTTGTCCTCTTTAGTGATAATTTTGAAGACATGTTTAAATTCCTGTAGAATGATTCCTGTTATCCCAACATAAGAGGGGCACTTTGATTTTGTGACTGAAAGAACAGAAATACGTCTGCATTAAAAAAATTCAGATTCAGGCAGTTTATTTGGTCTTCTACAGTTGCCTCATGATTTTAAAAACTGGTTCGCATTATTCTGAAATAATGTAATTAAAGTAATCACTGGTAAAACTGGCAGTTAATCTTTGCAACTAACACCACCATTTTCAAGAGTGGTTGAAAAGTAATCAGCATTGGTAAGCAGAGAAACACATCAATATATGAGCTCAACTAGGCGGTTTTAGAGTTAATGATACTGGAAGGAATTTAAAAATAAGCACCTGAAATACAGAAGTGTCTACTGAACTTCAGATGATTTTGTAAAAGAAAACAAACAGAATACCTGTAACAATAGCTCCATGGAGATCAGCTTTTAGCAGTTTGCCCTGAATCATATGTGGTTGCCTTGAAGAAGGGGGTGGGATCAGAGAAGAGGGAAAGAAAGTTATATGGAAAGTTAGGTTTACAAAATATGACCATGACTATTGAAATCATGGCCAAAGCTTACAGAAAGAGTACGTATCCTTATCGAGTAACCATGATTTTTCAAGCAGTAACTCACTAAACCTAGAATTATCTACTAAATCAAAACCACACTAATTTAAAACTATCTCAACTTACGTATCTGGTTTAAGTCCATGACACAGGTCTCTGATGTACTGTTTCCAGAGTTCGTGTAGTGGTAGAAAGATTGCGTATCTGCAGTAAAAACACAAAGCATTATACAAGAACTTCATTATCAAAAAATCTATTGGTTGATTACTCAAATAATCCATATTTACAACAGAGTTAAGACTAGCATTTATAAGCATTGTAATCTGCTCTCATAACTTAACCTATGAGGTAACCTACTCCAAGGAGCAGGCTTGCCTTTATCGAAAAGCACAAACTAAGCGTGCTGCTCTCATCAGCCCAAAATGAGATGTGTTTTAGAGGACCAGGCTATCTATGACATAAGAGATTCCTACTCTTTTACCCCACTTACTTCATGTTAGTAACAGCAGGGGCTGTATTCAACATGCATTCATTTGAGGAACCCGATGCATGGTTTGACCCTCTAGTCACAGGCAGTCTAACTTTAAACACTTGTATCAGAGGCGATTGTTTGATTTTTTTGTCACATGTAGGTATACAAAAGGGAAGAGAAACAGTAACAAACAGAAGTAAATTTTCCAATTCTTTCAACAAACAGTCTCAGACTGACTTAGATACTACTGATGGGTTAGTAGCCACGTCTATGTGGTGCTGCTTTTACATACTGTCGATGTACCTCCCACTTTTGCTACACAAAGGAAACGCTTGAGCTCTTACCTTTGCTGTTCAGGTTCAATTTCAAAAAGACGCATTTCCCGTCTTTGCTTGGCAGTGAAACCTTTTGTTTTCTTCCTCTTTTGCTTTGTCTTTTTTTTGGAATAATGCTCAAGAACTACAGCTTTCTGAGTTAATATATCCTGGATAGCTTCATCTTTCATTTTGGGCATACTGCGCTTCAGGAAGGCATTTACAAACGCTTTGGCCTCTTCTGATCCTTGAGGCTAAAAATATTTTAAAAGATACTTTAAAATATTAAATTTTAATTAAATTAAGAACTTGCTGCTGAGTAGTTTTATGAATACTAACAGTAATTGCACAGAACTAATAGTAACTGGAGATGCTGACAAGCTGCAGCCTGATGCATCCAGGGCGGCATGCAGGCGGCCCGCAGCCCACAGGTCTCGCAGTTTAACGGGAGGCATTGCCCGTTCTGCGTTGTCTGACACGGCGCGTACCACGGAAACCAGTGCTGGCTCCCACGGGAACAAACCCACACCGCGTCCTTCGGTTCCTAGCGGGGTTTTGTAAGAATAGAGCTAGAGTCGCCAACTCCCGACAACAGCGCTCCGTGCAAGAGGCGCGGTACCTGGAGGCGCAGCTCCTCCGTCTCCTCGGGCGGCAGGCGGCGATACAGCTCCCCTGCAAAGCAGAGTGGGCCAGGGCGTCAGGCGGGGCCGCAGCGGCCCCGGCTCCCCTCGCCCAGCGGTTCTCGCTGTCCATCGCTCACCCTCCATCGCGGCGATCGCCGGTGCTTCCGGCGCAGGTGATGACGACAGCGGAGGCGACGTGCGCCTGCGCAGAGAGCTGGCTGCCAGATCTGGCCGCAAGGGGCCTGTGCCTGGCGGCCTCTTAAGCAGGAGGGCTGTGAGTCGCGTCTTCGTGTTGGGGGATGCTGCAGGAAATCATTAGCACACGTGTTTTTTCTTTCCTCTGTAATAATTATGTGCTAAAATCTCTCACGGTAGTTCCCGGAGTGTGTAAAGCTTGCAGGGCTTCTCGGAGATGCCAGAGCCCGGTGCAGGGCCGTGATGGTGGCGGTGCGTGGCCGGTGAGGATGGAGCTCTGGTCCTGGGCGCTGTTTTAACTCGGGGTGAAAGAAACCCACTCCAAACTAACCTGCACACAAGTCACGTACCCAGCTTACCAGCCTTGGCTCCTTGTGAGCGCTGTGGGCACGTAGGCTGCTGTCGGCAGTGCAGGAGAGCCTGGGTAAGGGGGAGCCCAGCCCTCTCCCTCATAAATCACAAACTGCTGGACTGAGGTTTAGAGGGAAGCCATTGCTACAATCACAATACAATGAAAAGAACTTACGTTGCTTAACACAACCATGAGGTTCTCCAAAGGGGGAAGCTGTGACCAGGGTAGATTGTTAGATTAGCCATTTAGATTAAGCTAGATAGAGACCATTTAATATCTTTAACTTCTCTTAGGTGTCTGAACAGTCGAGTTACTATTATTACACAAGTCACAGGTTTATTTCAGCAGAGATCAGGATGGAAAATTAACACTATTTCTAGCCAAAGAAACAGTCTTACAAAATGAAATCTGATTATTATTTATCGCTTTTACACTAAAAAATTCTCTGACTTGGGAAACTATGTTGAGCGCTGGATATTTCAGTTCATGGGGAAATCTCTTAAAGAAAAGTATTGTCATCATACCTTCTGTAATGCAGGCCACCATCTCCAGTCATCCACCGCTTCAGTATGATCATGTACACCTGGAGCAGACAAGTCTGTGGTTTGAGTATTGATTTGGTAGTGTCCTTCCCATAGTAACAGCCTTGCTTTAGACTCTGGATACTCATGACGAGCAGCCTGGGCATGTCAGCCCTCACTTCTCCCTTATCCTGCAGTTGCTCCCCCCAAGGATGCCGGGACACCCATTTCCATTTTTCCATGTCGCAGCCCCCCTCACTTTCCACCTTTTGTTGCTTCATTTGTTCTGCAGATCTTCCCTGCCCAGGATGTACAAATGCAGTGTTGCAGCCAGCCCCTGCCCAAGCTCCCCAGGCCATGAGCAGGCACAGTTCTTCCCATCTCGCTTCTCTTGGTAGGAGACAGTTTCTTTGTTAGTCCCAACCTGTCCTTCAAGGCCTCTCCAGCCATTGCAGGTACCTGGCTCTTGCATGCTCCCGTTCAGCTGTTCCCAGTAGCTAACCGTGTCAAATGCTACTGTACCATGCCTGTATGCACATACCCAGCAACATGAGAGCTTTATTTAAAATCCATCTCCATGTTTCTAGCAATCAAGGCCAAAAAATCAGGAGGATGCTACTCATTGTGGGATTTACCTCCTCTGGTATGTTGCTGCCTCTCTCCTCCTGGGATAAGACAGTGCCTTACTCACGATACAGCACAGAGGCACTTTGAAACCAGAGTAGCTAATTCCTTTTCCTTGCCAGCCTAGTCCCAACTCAGGCTGCTCTCTGCTCAGATATGATGGTTCTCGAAATACAGAAGTCGTTTGTATTCTTGTCACGAGGGGATACTGGCTTAGCACATAATTAAGCATTGCTTTGTAAAGGATACTTAGGGAGCAAGTTATTGAGACAAGGTGTAGGAAACACGATGATTTTGTTGGGCGCTGCTGTGAAGCACAAAGGCACTAAAGGGATCCCTAACAGGGAACGAAATTGTAGATCCCTTTGTGTGTAAAGAAAAAAGGGCTGGTCTCTGCAGAGCATTAAGCACCAGTAGGTTTGTATCACAGACCCCTTGGCAGTTAAGTGCATTGCCACAGCAAGCAGATCTCTTGGCTTTACAAAGCATGGACTCCTTGAGTTGTCATTGCTACTAAGAAAAGATCAATTTTCATGAATGGAGTACAAGGATAAGTGCTATGGGTCTTTAGGGCCATATGAGTGCTCCTTCACTGGATTTATGCTGCAACTCCTAGGGCACTTCAGGGATTAATAGTCAAATCAGTGTTGGCGGTGCCGGTGTTGTAAATCCAATGATCCAGGCTAAACTAGTGCCTGGGGAAGCCAGTCTCTTCCAACAGCTCTACATCTTCATTTCTCAACTTATCTTCAGATATAATGTCTGAAGGAGTGAGATCAGCGCGTTACTGTGTGTCCCAGCAAGAAGTCTCCATGTCAGGAGTCAAGACTCCCATCAAATAAACATGAAAAAGAACAGACGATGAAGCTGAGAAACCAGACAATAGGCAAAGGCAGTTTGTAGATAGGAAGGAAAGAGAAGGCTCAGATAAATGAGGAAAGATGGCTAAAATGTGAATATAAAATAAAGTGGAAAAATGCAAACAAAATAATGATAACACATATTTCCAAATGTGTGGCACCAGTCACTATGCCTGGCTTAGTGTCTTAGTCTTTTGAAGCTTTTTACTTCAAGTAAATCACCTTGGAATAGGTTTATAGTGATATAAACCCCTAATATATATTATTAATACCAAGTTACAGGTGCCAACACTGACATTTCTTATTCTATTAAATCTATGTATGGCTTTATTTATTGCTTTCTAAAAAGAATAATTAAAAATCCCTGTGCAAAACCCCAACATCGAGGCAATCTAACGGTGTGCACTAGGGGGCCATATAGCCGTTCCTGTAGGTACCACTGAATTACAGTGACAGGAAAAACCGTGTGCGGGCTAGGCCAGGTAACAGCAGTGTCCTGGGGAAAGCTGAGTGGATGTGGGAGACATTATTGGAAGAGTTTCATCCTGAAAGTCTCAGAAAGCTAAAACTTGAGATGCAGAGTGAACAAAGACGGTAATTAAAGATAGTGTATGTCACAAACATAGAAGAGCAGTGTTTTTTTAAAAAAGAGAGTAATTCTGAACTGAAGCAAGAGATGAGCAGAAGTACGTGAAGTTAACTGCTGTGTCTAAAAAGTGACAGGGCTATAATCACTGTTATACTTTTGCTGATTGTCATTGATACAAGAAACAAATACCGTAATTCTCTAGAAGGACTGTCTCAGCAAGCATTTGAGCTATCAGGGTCAATATAGTTTATTCCTCTTGGCTAAATTGTATTAGCTGCTGAATTTGGTCCCTGAGGACACCTGTACTGTTGAAAACAATTTCCATTTAAAACCCTCTGATGTGACTACCCAAATATCAAGCTGCTACAACAATTTCCATCCCCTTTCCCAGGGCTGTGTGGAAGCAGCGTGCATCCAGCCTTTACATGTCCCATGGCTGTCCCATCACCTCCTGCTCCCGTCTCACTGTCCCTCTGTGCCACCTTCCCCTCTTCTTGCTGATATCTTCTTTTGGCCCCTTGGGGAGCACAGAATCACTCCCTGCCAGCATTTTTAGGGCGCCCTTGGCTGACTGTGCCCTGCGTACCCGGCTTTCTCCTGGCTCAGGCTGTGCCACGTGCAGTGTGTGTCCAGGGATTTGGTATTCATGATTCCCTGGAAAAAAGAGTCTAGGAAAGGGTGGTGTCTGGGGGGGTGGCAGTGGGCAAGCAGGGTGAGAACTGCCCTTCAGCCGGGTGAGCAGACAGTATTTGATACCAGTAGCCTCAATTTTCAGTTCATGTCGGTGTAGGTTTGCTAGAGGAAAGTTTGTAAGTTTTGTGTGTGGAAGCCCAAACTCTTGCTTTAGGGGCTTGTTTGACCAATTTTAGATGGCTGTGGCTGGTTAATGAGTGTCATCTTTTGAGGTACCCTGTATCCCTCAGATGTTTCTTTTCCATGTATTTTTCTGTGAGTTTTTCTGCTTTATCAGCTCAACTTTAACTCATGGATTAGGATGAGATGTGTTTCCCTGTCCTCTCCCCAGCTAACAAACTATTCTTTCCAGCTGAAGGTTCATTACTTCCTTACAATCCTGGCTCCTTGCCATCTCAAATTGTAGCTACCACTTCAGGGTAAATAAAAAAGGCTGGCTTTTCTGTGTGTGAAGAAAATAAGAAAGTGCTTGGAAATATATTCCAAATGTATCTTGGTGGCACAGAAATCAGAAGGGAAATAGTAATCCCAAAATGTTTTAAGAAAACTTCAATTATTTAAAAGCGGGGTTTTAAAATGAAAACAAAGACCCAAGAGACTTTTCTGTAGGCTGCAGGAGCTGCCGTGCCACAGCTCTCAGCAGAGGGCAGCCCGAGACCAGGGCCTGGGCCCAGCTGTCGATGGGCACCTGCCAGCCCCAGGATTTTGCCTGCGATTGGCTGTGAATTTTCTGTGCATCTTGCTATGTGTTGTTATAAAAAAAAACTTTAAAAACTGTTTCCTCTTTGGGAAGAAATTTGCCTGTTTGCAGCTTTTTTTAGCATACAGGACTCCAGGTCTCTCATATACCACCTCTTCTGCATCACAGTAAAATTATCAGTGGAAAGAGGATTTTGAAGGAATTGAATTTCACCACAAGTAAAGGAGACCACTTTTAAAAACAGTACTATGTTCTCATATCAAAATAAGAAGCTATAGCCTTCTTAAAATATTAAAAACATGAGTGACCCTAGAATACCTGGATATAACTACTGCAAACTAGAACTGCCTAGCCCTGCCTTGCAGAGCAAAACTAAAAAAGCAACACTTGCTCCCCAAAACAGTAATGAGGGGTCAGTAAGTTGAGGATTTGGCAGCTGATGCTTGGTTTCTCTGCATGCTGAGATCACATATGATCCAAACACACATCAGGATGACAGACACCACTTC